TTTCACCCACCCTGGGAGTCGTAGCCTACAATGTGTAGAACTACGGCGACGACGGGTGGTATAGTGTGGTTTGAGGCTCGAGACCCCGAAACGGCTCACCTCGAGTTCTCATCCACGGCCCTTTTCTCAATCCGGGTTCCTTCATTCTATCCTGTGACCCCTCCCAACTCTTGGTTCCAAGGGGGGTATCCGGGCACATAATAAAGGTGCAGCCCAGTGGGCGTGGCAACCTCTCTGAAGCACAAGCTGTACTCGTGTCGGCCAAGGGTCGGCATGGGCGGCGGGTGCCTTAGCAGAGTCACACGAGGGCCAGTGCACTATATCCTGTCTGCACAGACGGGGGAGGGTGTATGGCCATCTGTACCACGGGGTAACTAAACTTTCCAAATTCAGCCCTAGTTACACTAATGGAATGGATTCGTGGTGGCGCGTGGTGACGCCTCTGGCGGGAACTTAGGCAGAGGCTGTCTTCTATCTGTGACCTTCGTGAAGCTTGAATGCGTGAGTAAGGAACGGAAACGGGTAGTGAATCGGTATCTCGATCTCGAGTATACTTTGCATTGTTGTGCTTATGACCGGCGTGGTACCCTTGGGGAAGCGAAGGATCGGACCACCTAGGCTGAGCCGATGGCGTCCCTCGAATGCGCATGTTAGGTGTAGGCTGAGCTCGATAAGAGACTTTACCGTAGGCGGTGCTCATCTAGGGTGTGGTTAGCAATTCCACTTTAAACTACGCTAGGGGAGCCCCTATACTAAGGGAGATAGAATGGCCTTCTCCATTTAGAGAGTACGCGGGAGAACAGGATGATGTATTTCGGCCTGTTAGTCCTTTGCGTGCGGCATACGACCCGATGTACAATGCGGGCCCGACCATTCGGAGTGGAAAAGCGGAGAGCGAGGTTGTCTCGGCCCTTAGGGGCTGGGGCGCCTCTACACCAATGCTGCGGCGGTAACGGTCGTAGCGGAGGTGCGTCAGCTCTCATCTTGAGAATCAAAACGTCCGATAAGGCCGAATAGGCCAGGTGCGGACGTTAATTGTCTTGTGACGAAGAGTTCTCGGGAACCTCATATATATCAAATATATGTAAAAATGACTTTCACATCAACCAACAACAACATGATAGAAACTGTCATCAATAATGATAATGAGGTCGTCAGCATTCAAATTCCACATCATTGGAAACTATTTTAAAGCAAAATTTTATAGATAATGGATTTTCTCGTTGCACTTTGATAACGGGTAATGAGAAGAAAAGTTTGACCTATAATGTTCATAGTTCTGACTGTTCAGATTTCACTAACCAATCTGGATAAGCATGAAGGCTCAGGATCAAAGTTGCGGGCCAAAAATGTCAAAATATTGTAAATACTCAATTACCACAATTATATTTTGTGCGAAGAAAGAAGATTGCACGTACTTAATTGAATCTAACAGCATTCCTAATTCTTACGGTGCGGTGCGTTTTTGTCTTCATTGAAAGAATTATTTTAGTTTTCAGTATTAGAAATATCGAACACTTTTCCACTCGCGAACACTCCGTATGGTAAGTGTTGTGTTGTTTTATGTCTTGAACAGCCAAGCTTTCGACCTGTTTTAAGATCTTCATCAGGGAACATATTAATTTCACATTATGAAAAACAATTGTTAAAACCATTGTACAAATATGTTTTTCGTAATGTGAAATTAACATAGGACCTGATGTTGATCTTAAAATACGTCGAAAGCTTGGCAGAAAGAATGTGTGGTGATTAGTGACCGTTAATCGATGATTATTCAGAAATCGTGAGATGCGGTCTGGTGTGATGAAGGTTTCAGAAGAACATTTTCTTTATCGTGCCAACGTTTCGATCTTTATTGAGATCATCTTCATGGCTCAAAGTGTTTGTTGTCTGCGTAATTGTGCCATTCTTGCGTGTCGTGTTGAGAGAACAAACACTCTGAGCCCTGAAGATCACACCAGACCGCATCTCACGATTTCTGAAAAATCATCTTGGCAAAAAGAATTTATTTCATTTCTTTTATTTTAATGTCATTCTTAATTGGAATATTGTTTTTTCATTTTTTTAACAGTGTTGTCTTTTTAACTTTTCATTATTTTATAGTTTCAACGAATTTTTGAATGTTTTAATTTTACTACATTTAACAATCAATAAAACCTTTATCTGAACAATTAATTTTCTATTTTAAATTACTAATTCTCCCTGACTCCAAGAGGAAAGCACATTTGGGCCAAAAATAATCTTAGTAAAATTTACTACATGGATATTTATGACTGTTTGTAAGGTTTGCATGTTGTCTGTTAGTATCACAGAAAATTAATACCCTTACATTCATTGACCACCATTGAGCAAACAAACTAACTTAAGTTACTGAGTTATATGTGCAAGAAAAGTTTCACAACTCAAAAACGGGTAGTTTTACAGGTTGTACAGCTGAATTTTTTAAAGTTTTGTGTTTTCGCTTAAATCTTGAAGAAACGAAAGACAATATTGATGAATCATAACAGTTTTTATTGCCAACAACCGTGCGTATACTTAAAACATAAGAAAAAAATATGTAAACTTCCATCTGTCACTCCTGTAAAATTTTCTTTTTTTCAGTTGTGATTTTATTTGATTTAATTTTTTATATACCTTTGTCAACTCAAATTCATTGTAATAAATCAACATGATATTTTTACAAAAAAACAAATCAAAACAAAAAATAATTATCTGTGCTACGAAAGAAATATTGAAAATCAAAATCTAAAAAGACGATGCGGTTATTAATGTACGTAAAAGAGATTTAAGAGGTAAAGAATGAAAGGGGCAGAAAGAGAGAGAAAAGAAGAGTACCGAGAGAGAGAGGGGGAGAGTGAGAGAGAGTGAGTGATGGGAGAGAGACAGACAGAGACAGAGATAGAGTGAATAATAGAACCTATAGTGAATAAAACTGTCTAAAAGCCAGACAAATGAATTATATCAGATATATGCAGTTTTAAGACCTAAAGAAAGAAAGAAGGAATAAAAACCTTATGTGTGTGTGTGGGTGAGAGAGATAGATNCAGTCTAAAAGCCAGACAAATGAATTATATCAGATATATGCAGTTTTAAGACCTAAAGAAAGAAAGAAGGAATAAAAACCTTATGTGTGTGTGTGGGAGAGAGAGAGAGAGAGAGAGAGAGAGAGAGAGAGAGAGAGAGAGAGAGAGAGAGAGAGTGAGAGAGAAATGAATCGGAAAATATACCGATGAACAGAATATTGAGAGCCAATAGAAAAGTGCCACAACCCAAAAACAGGTAGTTTTTACAGGTTGTACAGCTGAATTTTTTAAAGTTTTGTGTTTTCGCTTAAATCTTGGAGAAACGAAAGACAATATTGATGAATCATGACAGTTTTTATTGCCAACAACCGTGCGTGTACTTAAAACATAAGTAAAAAATGTAAACTTCCATCTGTCACTCCTGTAAAATTTTCTTTTTTTCAGTTGTGTCACTTTTCTTGTGGGTGAGCAAGATGTGTTGCGATAAACCCGAATCTATACATACGTGAGTTTGTATTTTTGTTAACTTAATTGTATTTTTGTGTGCGATTTTATATGATTTAATTTTTTATATACCTTCGTCAACTCAAATTCATTGTAATAAATCAACTCAAAATCTTTACAAGAAAACAAATCAAAACAAAAAATAATTCTCTGTGCTACGAAAGAAATATTGAAAATCAAAATCTAAAATGACGATGCGGTTATTAATATACGTAAAAGAGATTTAAGTCGTAAAGAATGAAAGGGGGAAAAGAGAGAGAAAAGAAGAGTACAGAGAGAGAGAGAGAGAGAGAGAGAGAGAGAGAGAGAGAGAGAGAGAGAGAAGAAATGAATCGGAGAATATACCGATGAACAGAATATTGAGAGCCAATAGAAAAGTTTCACAACTCAAAAACGGGTAGTTTTACACGTTGTACAGCTGAATGTTTTGAAGTTTTGTGTTTTCGCTTAAATCGTGGAGAAACGAAAGACAATATTGATTGAGAGAGAGAGAGAGAGTGAGTGATGGGCGAGAGACAGCTAGATAAGACAGACAGAGACAAAGATAGAGTGAATAATAGAACCTATAGGTGAATAAAATTGTCTAAAAGCCAGAAAAATGAATTATGTCAGAGATAATGAATTTAAATTTTATATGCAGTTTTAAGACTCAAAGAAAGAAAGAAGTAATAAAAACCGAATTAGAGAGAGAGAGAGAGAGAGAGAGAGAGAGAGAGAGAGAGAGAGAGAGAGAGTAAGAGAGAAATGATTCAGAGAATATACCGATGAATAGAATTGTCTGTATATTGTCTGTTAATTTTTAAGATCGACTAGTATTGTAACATAAACAGGTAATAATTTAACCAATGTTTGTACATTTTTCCGTTTGGTTTTCTCTTTAGGGTTTTTTTAAATTCTTTCCTCTGTATTCTTCAATCATTCAGCAAATAAAATAGAAACAAACCAAAAGGAAAGACAAAAAAATGGTGAACGAGAGTGCTGTATTACTGCTATATACTTGTTATTAAGTTAAATGATCCAACAATTCGAAAATTGAAAATATGCGAAAGTATTTGATATCTGATAAATTAATGTATGAGTGTTTATGTAATGGAAAAATTTAAGAAGCTGCAGTTTTAATAACTCAGTGTTTTGCTTGTGTATCGTCTTTTTGTAAGTTTTCCTATATTGCAAATCGATGGATTGTTTGAAACTGATCATCTCTTGTCCGCTTAACCTCGGTGATATTGCATCCTTGGATGTACGCAACGCGTCCCGAAACCTACATCTGTTAAAGTGCCTCTGGCCGGATTTGATATTCGGCTGTTTTCCGCAGATAACGCTAAATATCCGTCAGTCAACCCATCGTCACACCGTCCGAATTGATTATCCCGTCAATACACCTTTACCCTTCGCCTAGGAAAACAAAAAGTCAATCAACTAAAAAACGGTTTATGCACTTATCAATGCAAATCCGTTCTATGTGAAATGGCAGAAGAGAGGAGGGGACGGATAGATCGGCTGAGTATAAAAGACAAGTGCCATCTTCACTTGCTACATTCACATCCACAATATGATCTCGGTAAGTAAAAAAGTACATTTTTTTTTTACAAAAAGCCTTCTTTTCACAAATCGTCAATGATGAAGTGTAGAATTTAAAATTTTGATCTAACCAAAATTGCAATACATTTTATGAATATTTAAACCCTTTTGAATTGCTTTGAAAATTGTCATACACTATTGTACATGCACTCTATAAAAAGCCTATCAAATTTTCTGTACATATAAAATTCAAAAATTTTAATGTTTAGTTGGAACATGAGAGTTTACATTTTAAATTTAAATTATCAAAGACATTATTTTTTTTTAAATTGTATGACAGTAGTGTTTTTCTTTAGTCAATTTGAATCTCGGATAGGAACTAGTTTTTTTAAATTCGTGTTGTAACTTTATTTAACTGTAACTTCGCCCTGTCATTCATATATGTTTATGTATATTTTACAATACATAATTAAATATTAATATTTTATAAGGTAGGTGTGATACATCTTCAATTTGTAAAAAGTCTTTTTCATCGAAATTTAAATATAGAAATTTATTTTTACCAAAAAATAGTTCAAAATATAGATAATAATAATTTAATATTGAAAACAGTTTTACATGAATTATGTAAATAAACATACGCATCGGAATCTTAAATTTTTTTACGGAAATATTAATTTTATACTTTGGCAGATTCTGACAATCTTAATGATTTTTTTCTGGTAACGTTTCTTTTGCACGATACATTATAAAATATTTTCATTCATTTTTCTTTGCATTCCAGTATTCAGGTTTTAAACAATAAATTTCACTATACATTTACAATTTCTAAACATATACTTATCAACAATGGGATTTTTTATAATTACGGTCAAGTGTTTCTTAAAGTTTTTTGAATAATATCTTCTTAGTCATGTTGGAATATTTTTGTTCACCCTTCTAGTGGTTAAACATTTTATCTGTTAGCCTATCAAATTTTCTGTACATATAAAATTCAAAAATTTTAATGTTTAGTTGGAACATAAGAGTTTACATTTTAAATTTAAATTATCAAACACATTATTTTTTAAAAAATTAGTAGTGTTTTTCTTTAGTCAATTTGAATCTCTGATAGGAACTAGTTTTTTAAAATTCGTGTTGTAACTTTATTTAACTGTAACTTCGCCCTGCCATTCATATATGTTTATGTATATTTTACAATTTATAATTAAACATTAATATTTTATAAGGTAGGTGTGATACAACTTTAATTTGTAATTAGTCTTTTTCATCGAAATGTAAATACAGAAATTTATTTTTACCAAAAAAATAGTACATAATATAAATAATAATAATTTAATATTGCAATCAATTTTACATGAATTATGTTAATAAACATACGCATCTGAATCTTAAATTTTTTTACGGAAATATTAATTTTATACTTTATTTTATATTCTGACAATCTTAATGATTTTTTTCTGGTAATGTTTCTTTTGCAAGATACATTATACAATATTTTCATTCGTTTTTCTTTTCATTCCAGTATTCAGGTTTTAAACAATAAATTTCACTATACATTTACAATATTTAAACATATAATTATCAACAATGGGTTTTGTATAATTACGGTCAAGTGTTTCTTAATTTTTTTTTTTTTTTTGGGATAATATCTTCTTAGTCATGTTGGAATATTTTTGTTCCCCCTTCTAGTGGTTAAACATTTTATCTGTTAGTTTTTCTGTTCGTGCTTTATTTATTTTTTTGATTTATTTTCTTTTGTAATTATTAATGTTTAAAAAATCCAAATATCAATTTTTTCGCCACCTTGTAAGTAATAAGCTGTGTGCAATAAATTTCGAAAAATTAAAATGTTTAAATTTGAAATAAAATAATTTATATGTCAGTATGAGTACTATATCATTATTATAAATTTTTTATACAGAATTTCTATAAAGCTTAATGATTCTCTGTGATGTGTTCTTGCATTTAATACTTAAAATCAGACAATTTACCACTAATTGTTTTGTTTATATGTATTTTGCAGTAGGTCTTTCAATTTTTTTTTTAATATGCAATGATATTGTTGCAAAATATCTAGCATAGCTACCTTACACCTTGAAACTGCTAACCTATTGACTCATCGGTCATTCCTTTCACCTGCCATATTATTAGCCCATTAACAGTCAAATGTTTCAATCGAATTATAAAATATGACTCATAGGAAAAATTACAGAAATATTTTACAACAAGTTTGCTGATTTTTGATATGGTTTTATTGTTTTTTGTTTGTTTTTTAAGTTGGTGGTTTTCGCTTGCCTTTGCGGCTTGGCTTTCAGTGCTCCTCAAGTCGGTCCTCAAAGGACTGGTGAACCTGTTGCGATAGTGTCTCAACACAATGACTTCAACCCTGATGGATCATACCAATACAGGTAAACTACATCTTTGGTTGGTTTTTTTGTTTTTTTTTAAGTACATCAAATTCGTAGCAACACAGAGTTAAACGTCAAAAATGTTGTGTCTTTTATTGACTTAGAAGTATCAAATGTTGCAAATAAACTTTTAATATAAAGACAGTTTGAACATTGTATTACAAATATACTGAGAGAGAGAGAGAGAGAGAGAGTGAGTGAGAGTGTGTGTGTGAGAGAGAGAGAGAGAGAGAGAGAGAGAGAGACTGACAGACAGATAGAAAGAGTGAGAGTTTAAGAAGAAGGAGTGGGTGTAAGAAAATATTATTTTTCATTTTAAATAAAATTATTTACTAATGTATAAAATAAATTTAAAGGAATAGAATTTTTTTGCATAATAATGTAGCTCGTTCAAAACAATTTTTACTGAATTGTGTGTAAACATTTTTTAATGAATAATTCTGACAAAAAGGCACATGAATGTATTCAATTCAAATTATTTGATTTATATTAAATAATGTTTTACTTACAATATGATTTTATTTCATTTTTTTCTTCGTATATATTGTGCACACAATCTACGATCCTTACGGAGTAAAACTATTATTTTCAAATATTAATTTTTTTCATGTTTTATTTACGATTTGAACAATTTTCTTTTTCTCGATATTAGATGGACAGCAAAAATCATAAAAATCAAATTTTAGATTAAATTGTCTGATAATTTATCAGAAGGGAAGAGATAATTAGAAGTATAGAAAACTTCTAGGTTCATGGACATCCTCGGAGAGTACGGGTGATGTTACCAAGTCATCACAGCTCAAAAGATCAAAAACTCAGAGATAATTGGTTAAAATAACCCTGTCAAAATGCCATTTGACTGATTTCCAAAAAACAAATTGCAGTTACGAAACCGCCAACGGCCTCAAAGGTGAAGAGACGGGATCGCTGAAGCCGGCCCAAGACCCCAAGGACGGTAATGTTGTGGTCGTCAAGGGATCCTACTCCTACACCGACCCCGACGGACAGCTAGTCCAAGTAATTTGAATCGTTTTATTATCAATTATAATTTTACTAATGGAATTTGTGTCAGGTGACTTACGTCGCTGACGACTTGGGCGGATTCCAACCTCAAGGAGCCCATCTTCCCACTCCACCACCGATCCCCCCAGCAATCCAGAAGGCTTTGGACTTCCTCGCATCCCAGCCTCAACAACCCCAGCAACAGAGACTTGGTTGAGTAATTCAACGGATTGGATATTGACCGAATCTTTTGAAGATATGAATATTTTTGTACTGTACTTTTTGTATATAATGAAATAAATGGAAGTTACATCCAATTTTAGTTTGTGTTCTTCTATTCTTACAAATAACCCGTGATGTCTTTTTATACATTTCTGAACAAACGACAAAGAAATATGTAATCCTTTTCGTCAAATAAGAAGTTTACAGGACAGAAGGAAATNTTTTTAATAATTACCTCACTAATAATTCATATAATTATAAGTCCAACTGTTTTTGTTCTTACTAGCTATTTTTGACATTAAAAACAAATGTTATCACAGAGTATTACATTAATGACTAGAATTATAGCTTTTTAAATTATATGTACAAAGGATTACAAATTAAGATGAGAAACACGACACAACGTCGCCTCACCTAAGGTTGGACTGTTACAGTTAGTGAAGGCTACCTGGCTCTGTACACTCCCCATTATGCGCCCTCTAAGGGTCGCTACCTTTTTTCCGTTTTTTATAAATTTCCAATAGTCCCGCAAATGTTGATATGAAACCTAGTTCGTCACCATTTAAATTGCAGGCACTCCTCGTTAAATGGATTCCTTTTGCAACAGGAGTCTTCTCTCAAAGCCGACCTCTCGACCCAAGATCTCCGGGGAGTCCAACTTGAAAAAATGACCATTCTTTGTAGCATGAGAGGACAACCCTGTGGTCAGCTTTTTATGATTACAATCCAATCTATGTTGGTTCATTCTAATGTGAATTTTTTGCTTTGCTTGTCCAACATATTGAGCGTCGCAACCACCACAGAACACCCTATAAACCACATTAGATCGTGTGACAATAGGCTCTTTAGACTTTAAAACGGTATGAAGACTAGAAAGATTATTTTTGTATTTATAAGCAATGTTTACATTTATTTTATTTTATTAAGCATTAATTCCACTCGGACACTAACTTCCCATCTCAACCCACCTTTTTGCCATTTTTCAAATGTCGTGAACCTATTTGATTCTCGGCAACGAATGAAATGGCCACAGAGTGCTTTTAGTGAAGATATACCTCATTTAACTTATTACATTCACTAGTTTTCGTGGTCTGCTTGACCAATTAATATTTTTCAATTAATAAGGTTTTAGTTGACATAAAAAAGTCAGTGTCACGAGCGGGATTCGAACCCAAGACCTTCGGCTTGATACGCCGCTACTCTACCACTTGAACATCGATCCTCTCTGATCCCCTCAAGTGGTAGAGTAGCGGCGTATCTACACGAAAGTCGTGGGTTCAAATCCCGCTCGTGACACTGACTTTTTTATCTCAACTAAAAACCTTATTAATTGGAAAATTATTATATATGCTGAATTTGTCGTTTGAGACATTTGTACATACCTCCCAATACGGTGGAAATATTCCGTTATTCCCTGTTACTCTCCTTCCTTACCTAGGCAAAATCCTTGAAAAGCTTCTAAAATGTTTTATTTCAATGCCTGAAACTGCTAATATCCTATCTCAACACAGGTTGATTACTGCTCATTTCACTCTAATGCAACAAGTGCATTGCGTTGTAGACTGTATGTCAACCACTATACAGCATAAACAGTATTGCTCGGGTGTCATCCTCGATGTGGTTCAAGCGTTCGATCGGGTACGGCAGTCTGATTTCCTGTTGGAGCTCAAGGGATTCCTTCTTTTCACGTACATTTTAATATTAAAATCCTCTCTGAGAGACCAGTACTAATTTTTTTTCTTAAATTCTTATGAAAGCAGTGTTATTCAGGGCAGCATTCTAGGGTCCTTCCTGTTCGCAATATACACAGCCGACATTCCTGTTTTCCCTAACTATATGTTCTTTTGCTGATAATACAGCCGTCCTGATATCTAATCCTGTCTCTTCCCTGCTAGCCATGACAACGAACTTTAATTCTTAACCAGTCTTGCTCTCGCAAATGTCGGATAAAAAATAATGAAAATGAATCCTCGCACATCACGTTTACATTTGTCCTACAGTTCATTTCACTGGAAAACATTTTCGAACTTCAGATATTGTGCGCTACCAGGGACTATAAATTGAAAAAATGACTAACGCGGAATCGCCCTTAGACGATTGATAAGACAGGAAATTAACCGACTGTACAAATGACCCCTAACATTATTTTACCTTAGGTCCAACTTACACCTTCCTAAGAAACTAACCATTTACAAGTCCCTCCTGAAACCGATATGGACTTGAGGAATTAAAGTTTGCGGTTCAACGAAAAAATCTAATTTCTATTTACCTAGGAAACCTCCAATAAATTATTCACGAAATTATCGAGTATAATTACATGAAACGGATGCAAAGTGGAGGTAAAACAACTTCTTAAAGATCAATTCAAATATTTTACATTACAAAATAATTAAATTTAAAAGGACAATTATTTATTATATTACTACATTAAATTTCCTTTATGAAAAACGGCATTTAATGATTAATTAGCGAAAAGTCAAAAATGATAATGACTTGCTTTTTTAAGTGATTCGCCAACAGGAAATCGTCATTCACTACCAACTACTTAATTAGGAATTAATAGTAGGGGTTTCAGATAAAATCGCTTTAATGCCGGAGCTATGAAAATTCTGCCATTTTTTCTCTTGCCGCCCACCGCATTTTTCAGTTTTTCAACCATCAGATTTCATCATCTGTTGACTATAGGGTCGGATACGACAAGGCCGTTTCATTCCGTGTAATATTTGAACAAATCAGGTGAAAAAAATTTTATTTAGAGGATCCAAAATCTAGAGATGGAACCTATGGAATTATAGTATTAATAGTATTATGCGAACTCATTTCTATTTTACTATTACTATTATAGTTGTATAGTCATATTTATCTCACTACTTACAACCCAAAAAGAGGATGGACTATAACAGATACGTCAAATTTTTAATAAGGAGAAAACTGGTAGAAAAAGAGAAAAATATTATTAGGATAGATCCCGTTGCCACGAACACTAATTAAGATATAGATAGAGAGAGAAAGAAAAAATGGAAGAAAAAGAGAATGTGGCGTATATTTTTAAATATTAATGTATCGTGTCTTTCCTTCGATTTCGTAAATATCCTTTTTTTCTTGAACTTTTCGAGTATTTTCGTTTTATACCAAAGCTTTTGGACTATCATTCAGCCTCTGTTTTTATTTTTGGGAGATACTAACTAGAAAGAGAGCGAGGTGGTCGCAAGATATAAGAAGTGAGTGAGTGAAAAAGGGAGTGCGGGGGAAAGATAAAGAGTGAAAGGGGAAAGAAGTAAAAAGTGAATGACAGAGTAAAAATATGAGTGAAAATAACTTAGCAGCCTCAAAAAATCTGCAGGTGTGGAAAGAGGTTTTTCTTTGGCGTTCCTTCCATATCTATCCTGGCTAGCAAATGCTGGTTATGGCCCAATAATCAAGACAGACGCCAGTCGCTTAATACAACTTTACTTCTTATAAAATATATTTAAAAATCCAATTAATTAGTCTTTTTATATCAGATTTTTAATTTTGATGAAAAATTAGTGTGTCGAGCGAGATTCGAACCCACGACTTTCTGGTTGATACGCCGCTCCTCAACCACTTGAGCTATCTTGACTTCGATCCACTCGGACACCAACTCCTCATCTCAATCGACAACCGTTTGAATTTTCTCTCTTTTTGCCATTTTTTCAAATGTCGTGTAATCAAGACTCGATTCTCAGCGACTTATTAAGAACCCAAAGGAAGTTAATGAAGTAATTATTTCTTTTAATTATTAAATTAATCCATATTGGTTTAGAGGACATAATTATTCCAATTAATTGTTCTTTGTAACAAAGGTTTACGGTTGAATAATTAATGGAATAAGGAATATGGTCAATTACGTTCACTAAACAAATATGGTATAATATTTAAGTTTATTGAAAAATTAAATATGAATGTATTTTAATTTTTTAATGGCATCAATAAGATTAATACGTGTTTATTATTAGTTTTATTAATATAAATATGAAAATTATAATTTCATTAAAATACAAATAGTATAAAATTATATGTATAAAACATAATCATAAAAGGTACAACACAAGAAAGCATAATTTACAAAACTTTACACATAGTGGAAAAGTTTATTTTTCAAATTAATGTATTGTGTTTTAAAATTAGTTTACTGATATTATTTGCTCGATATCATTAAAGAAAGAAAGCTGAGTGAGTGAGTGAGAGAGACAGAGAGAGAGGAGGGAGAGAGAGAGAGAGAGAGAGAGAGAGAAAGAAAGAAAGATAGATAGATATATAGAGAGAGAGACAAACAGACATTGAGTGAAGGAGATATTAAGTGTGAGATAAAGAAGGAGAAAGAGAGTGAAAAATGAAGGTGAAAAAGAGAGAAGGAGATATTAAGTGAGAAAAAGGGGAAGAAAGAAGGAGGAGGAGTGAAAAAGATGAAAAGCGAAGGAGTGAGAAAGATAGAGGGGGAGAGGAGGAGGTAATGAGTGAAAGAGAGAAAAAGAGAGAGTTTAGTGATATTATTTATTTGATGTTATTTACATGCAATTATTAAAAAAAGGAAACTGAGTAAGAGAGAGATAACAAGAGAACAAGAGAGAAGGAAAGAGTAAGTGAAAAAGCAAGAGAGGCTAAATTAATATGAGTGCACATGAGAAAATAAAAAGATGGGTGAAACAAAGAAATAGATAAAAGGAAGACAAAAATAATTTAAGATTATTATTAGAGAAACTGTCTATAACTACATAATGGAGAAATAATTAAATTGTCCATGGAAACATTAAAATGCAAACAATTAAGATCTAGGTTCAAGAGATTACGAGAGAAATAAAATAGATAGTAAGAGTAAAAGAAAGTGGTAGATACGGTGGTAGGAAGAAAGTAGTGGCGAAAAAAATTCAAGAAGACATAAAAATTGTTGTTTAACAATTTGCAAAATCATATAATAAAATCATTTTATCATACAAATAATATCAACAATATCAATAAAATGGTAGAAAAGTATGCTTATTTGCGAAATCAACACAATCCCAACGACAAAAACCAGACACCGGACGTATATTGTTTTATTTTAAACAATACGTATTTTTATGGTTATATTAGTTACAA